GTCTCCCTCCCCCGCTCCGCCGCCAGCGCCTTCCCAAGCGCCGCCGCCTTCCTCCCCCGTTCCATACAAAGTGGGCACAACTATAGAGTGAAAAAGAAGAGTGTGAGTGAAGAGCACACGAGGTAATTTCAAACGTCGAGGAACTTCATGTGGCCGACGGCGATCATGGGGCTTGGCGGAGATGCTGGGCGCGGCCCACATGCCAATGGGGGAGGAGAAGGAGGTGCCAATGATTTTCGTTTTGAGCTCAATGTGTGACCTGTAATAATTAACATGTTATCTATAATAATTAACATGTTACATGTTATAGTTCGCATGTTACCTATAATAGTTAACATGAGCTGACATGAGAAAGAGAAATAATAAAATTAGGATTTTAGATGGACATGCGTCATATCATGAGCTGACATAAGTTGGTGAAAGTAGGAGAGGCTGTGGCACATTGAAACTTAGAATTAGAAGTCTTAAAGCAATTTTTCAAAAAAATAAAGAATTTCTCGTGGAAGAATAAAATCATTAAAATACTGACGACGATAGCTGTCAAACTTTCTCCTGCCTTCCGTACAAACAAACTTCTCACACAACGACAAACTAATCTCATCCGTCCACCTGTCACCAACTAGGGGTCCCCACAAAATCAACGGTCTGTTGCCCGCCCACTTTTCCCCCCTATAAATGGAGAGAGTTCCCTCTTTTGCTCACTCGACTCTCTCCACTCTCTCACTCTAAAGGCGGAGGCGCTGCCGGCCGTTCTCTTCTGCCTTCATCCAACGCCGGGCGAACCGCTGGGCGACTCGAATTCTCTCCGCCTTCTTGCAACTATTCCTAAGCGACCATCCGGCGATCTCGAGCGGCCGTTCTCCGCGGTTGCCCTTCATCCCGGCTGCCCGAAGCAGCAATAGGTCCAGTAATCAGCCGAGCAACTGGATCTCTGCCGAGTCTCCCGCCGTATCTCAGAATCGTCAGATCTGGCGCTGGATCGATCCCCGTCCTCTCGATTTCCATCGTCGGGATCATCGTCGTAAGTCTCCGCGATCTCTTGGCTCTAGATTTTTAGGATCCCGATGCTATTTGAAATTTTCATCCATTAGTTTGGTTGATAGGCTTGATTCGTTCGTTTTTGCGTGTCATTATTAGGTATTCTGCTGTAGATCATGTTAGCCTCTTAGCTCTCTGTTCTAGGGTTTCTTGATGAGTTTTTTTTAATCTTGGAATATTGTTTTTTATAAATCCGATGCTTGACCTTATTTTACTCAGGTTTTTGTTGCTGTTAGAAATTTTTCTCTATTATAGGATCTCTCTGTTCTAATTTTTTCGATGAGGTTATTTTTATTTAGAGTTTTATTTCTGATAGTTTCGATTTGATTTTTTTTTTAATTTTTCCGTAAGTCATTTTAGTGGATCTGATTTATTCTGGCTGAAAAGAAAATTAGTAGATGAGATTTGAATTGATATTAATTTTTTAAGGTTTCCTCTGCTATTTGAAAATTTTCTTGTTCGTTTTTAAAGTTTTTTTTTATACCATTTTGGTCGTTTGTGCTAGTTTGGAGTTCGATTCATGCCATTAATCTGTATTTTTGTTTAGATTGTCATTGGTTTGCGCTATCTCTGTTCTAATTTTCTAGATGAGGTTTTTTTAATTTTAGGATTTTATTTTTCATAGTTTCGTTGTTTAACTTTCAATCTCTGTTATAAATAAACTTATCATAGTTATGATGACTGAAGGATCTCTGGCTATATATCAGCGTTACTCTCTCTTGGTTTAGCTGATAGGTGTAATTACAAAGTATTTAGGTACTTATTTGAATGTTTGGGCAATTTTGCAGTTGATGGTAGTTTGTATTTAGGTTTCTGACTTGATTTCAAATTTTATATTTATATCCTTTGTTCTCTCTCATTATTTTGATAGATTTTCTCTGTTTCTGATCTCTCGGCTACAGGATTCGTTCTAGAAGTAGTGTGGATGAGTGTGCAAGGTTTATATTTTCTAGCTCGACATCTTGAATACTAATGTCATATCAGGAATCTGGGGAGAATGTTTTACAGCAGAATATGAGGGAGTTGTTGTATTTTGCTAATATGTCGGAGTTATTGTATATCTGTATCCTGAACATACATGATTTATTCTCCTGTATACTTTTTAAATTGGGAAACAGGGGCCTTAGCCATTCTATTGAAATGACACATTCTTGAACAGTTATCTAGCACTTTATTTTAAAAAATCAAGTTATGTAGTGTTTCTGAAATTTCAACTATGTTTATTCTCACTGCAGGAGGAGCATTTTGTTTCCAATCTCCACTTCTCGTGGCCGCAGATCTCCTGTGTTGCTCAGTGCCCAATCAGAGGAAGCAGGGCAGTGTTCCTGAGTTACAGGGATGGCTCCGGCCAGGCAAGTGCGGTTTATACTTCATCTTTTACTCAGTACTTTTTCTAGTTGTGCTATTTGAGATGTATGCTGTTGGTTACGCTGGTATCGTGGGATTTGCTTCCAAGCTCAAATACCAAAATAATAATAACAATAATGTCATTTGTATACTCCCATCACTTAGAGGCCCATTAAAAGTTCGTTGGAGCTATAAAGTTGATCAGTATGGAGCCATTTTAGTTCTCTCATCAGTGTGGAAATGTCCAGTCAGTTTATAATATGAACATACAAACACGACAACAACAAAGCTTTTATAGGAATTTTTTAGGAGCGCGTACATGACATGTTCTTCCATCCAGATTTGTTAAGGGTTATCTCATTGATTACACTATCACTATCATACTTTGTAGTTGCTTCTAATCAATTCTCTTAGGCCAACCTCTAGTTCTCCTTGCTCCATTAGTTATAATCTTATTCATGTCTCCTAATTGGTGCATTTAGTGGCCTCTATCATATTACAAACCATCGTAATGGATTCTCTCATTTTATCCTCAGCAGGAGCAATTTCTAATATCACATGCACTCATTTCTTATTGTATCTTTTAGTCTATATCATGGGTCTATCATAACGTTCTCCTTTCTTCCACACTTAATTTTTCATAATTTACCAACGTTCTAATCAATAAAGTACTGTTGTCTTTACAACTATCATATATTTTTTTTCTGCTTCAGTTTCATAGATAATCTATGATCATATAGAACTCCATAAACACTCGACTTTAGTCATCGTGATTTGATAGAGTTTTATACTCAGTATAATCGATATCTATAGATTTTTATCTACCCATTTATTTTTTTGTAAACAGTATCTATTTATATTTCTTTTAAGCATGACATCTATCAATTCCATCATCTTTCCCATAGGTGTATCTATGTTGCAACTTGCAAGTAGTATTGTGTATACGCCTCCACACATTTAGCCATCCTGTTCTTATTTGACACCGTATTTGTGACCAATAGCACACCAGAGATTCTCTTCTTGTACAATTTTTTAACTTGTTAGTTATTAGATGAATGTATTATGGGAATGAGGGCAACATGAAATGGTATTACAGTGTGCTCTTCTTGTCTCTTATCTTTATAGTTTGTCTTTACTGTGCTCTTTTATATAAATCCGAGTGTTTATCTGTGGACATATGTTTATGTAATAGGTGTGCTCAATTTGATCTTTTTTCCATTATTAACTTGATTTTGATTATATTTGCAGATTCAGAAGTTTGCTGTGCGATTTCCCACAGATTCTGTTGCTGAAAAGTTCCTAAATTCTGTCAAGGTACATGATCCTTTTTACCCATAATTCTTGTAAGTATACATGTCATTTTGTTCATCTATTTGACAGTATTCACCAATTTGGCAATTTCTAATTTTCTGGAGCTGAACTGCTTAGTTACATGGCTGATGTTTCTCTGGAATCTGCTAGCTGGCTATGAAATGGATACATCTTGAATCTTAAAGTGCATACATCTTGAATCTTAAAGTGTTCATGTTACCCCCTTTTTTTTTGTGCAAAAAATTCATTGAACTTGTTACTTGTACTTTCTTTCTTCTTGTAAAAACACTCGAATATATAGAAAAAGCCTTACTTAATTTGAAACATATCCTCGCACTTATCATGTTCATTTAAACTTTTATGACGGTACCTATCAATCTTTTATAACAGTATCCATCAATCTTAAACCAGGACAGTTACTATTTGTACATGTTCTTTATTTGGGATTACTTTTCGTTTCTTTCTGTTTCAATAACTTTTGGATGGAAAATTGAGATTGAATATCATGAGTACATTACTGATTTCATTTAATTTGGCTGAACTGTTAAATCTTTATTTAAGTTCACTGCAACATTTGTCTCCTTTAAAATAAAATCATAAGCTTCTTTAATTATTTGAGCTGGAATTTCAATCATAAAAAACTCCATTCTCCATTTTTGATACTAGATAATCTACACTACAGACTTCAACAATTGTCACTACCTTTTCTCTAATCCTAGTATAACAAGTTGTGCATGTATTATAAACAACTGAAACTTGATACTGTTGGCATAAGCTAGGAGATCTCACCATTTAGCTTCAAGTGTTTGCATAGTCCTAAGTCCAATATTTGCTGAAGTGAATATTTGTGTTGCCATTTTCAAAGCGCAAATTTTAATTATTTTCATGTTTCTCGCTTTTGTTTCTTTGCTGTTCTCTCGAAGCAATCAGCGATCTATTATCTTCGTGATGGTGATAGCATGAGTTATGAGCTTCTTTGTCTAAAACTGTGTTGAAGTGCTAATTTGTTTTTTTTTTTTTCCTGCACATATGGTTTGTGGTATGTTACTGTTGTTAAACACATTAAAGGTATCTGACAATTCCTCACTCCCAGCAAATAAAAACAAGGATGTAGCAACCAAAATCTGACTTTTTGTGCATGCACTCACTATGTATCTGTTCATGTGATTCTTAGGGATGCTTAAATGGCAGAGTGAACGATGCACCCTCAGGATGTGATGTTGTGTGTGAAAATTCATCTCCATCCGGTTTTACTGCTTCTAATAGACTTCTGTCCAGGCTAGAACCTCTTCATACCCTTATTTTATCTAGAACCAGGTGGTTTAGGTTGATGCTAACAAAGTTATATACTAAAACTTTTGCCCACATTTGGGGTTATTATGATTATAGGTTCAATGAGGACTCAAGTTATGAAGAGCCTATCGCAACTTACACTCCAGACCCTATTGCAACTTGTTCACCCGAGCGTCCTTTGAGCTACAACGATCAGCAATCTGAGAGCAGTCTTCCACGTCTGCTTGCTAATGACACTGACTCCATATTCTCAGGCTTTCCTCCTAGCTTTACAGAACTACTGACCAATTGTTCGGATGAAACTGAAAAAGGTTATTCGAGCAAATTAACCTTTACAACGAATATTTTCCCATGTATAATTACATGGCCTCTTATTTCTCAGTATTACATACGATTTGCAGAGCAACAGACCGAAGAGCTGGATGCTAAACCATCCTTGAATGAGGTGATCTTCTGAATCTTTTTTATTTGGTCACCGTGACTAACGTAGTATTTTCTTTCTGGGACACAAATATCCTAATATTTTTAGAACCTCTTGTTGCAGGGACGCCCGCTGAATTCTCTAGCTTGTGGTATGGAAATATATGTTGTTCCTTACGTTCATCCTGGAAAAGATGACGTTATTTTTCTCTGTGTTCGTTCTTTACTTGTTTCTACTGGAAATTTACAGGTGGTTCAGTACTGCCGAATTTCACAGATGACCCACATCTTAAGGGTCAAATTGCGGTATTTGCATTTTCTTCTGTTATTATCTTCCTCTCTCTTTTCATTCCATATTTCAACAACTTTGTTCTGACATCCATATTCTCTGCTTCTGAATTTCTCTATTTGATTTTAGAAATACATGACAGATGCTTCTTTTCATGGTACGATTTCATACCTTCCTCTCTCAGTTTTTTTTTCTTAGTTCATTTAGATTTTCATTATATGATCCATTTAAAATTTTATTTAAAAAAAAAAGGGAAAGATAATTTCCACAATATCCTGAAATATTTGTTCCCTGTGTTTTTCTCCAGATATGCTGTTTAAGATAGAAAAGGTCATAGATGAAATGGGAGGTGACTTATCCCTATAAGCTTGCTGCTCTACTCTACCAAATAGTGAAAGGAAGAAGAGTTCTTTTTTTTTGACCTGAAGGAATAGAAAATTGTTGACCATAGAAACTCAAAGGCGATATCTTTTTGCCTTGCCTTAAGAACCGATGTATAGTTAACCCCCTATCAAAACTTCTTGTTGTTGCTATAAAGCTACATGCGTCTTGCTAAACTGCAGCTCTGTGAATCAAAGAAACTGGTACGTATATAAGCATCGTAGTCTGTACAAATGGTGACGTGCGGTATGCGCTTAAATTAGGGAACTGGCCGCTTGAGCTGCAGTTTTTTTAATCATTAAAAGACACGTACCCACAGATTATGAAGTAGAGATTCTAAGACCTTGCAGAAAATCAAGCATCGTAGTCTGTACAAATGGTGAAGTTCATAAATAGTGTAAACTGTCAACTACAGGAGACACAAGTAAGATATATGAATGTGATGTTAACACAATAAAACCTTTTAAGTACAACCCTTTATCGTCCATGGAGTCTAATCTAGACACTTATTTCATGTATATATATATGAAGGCTTCTTACAACACACCCAGTGATTGCTCGGCACGCGTCAACGAGGTCCTTCAATACCATCCACGCTTCAAGCAAACAAGTTGGTGACATCTGAAAACACCAATTCCAGAAAAAGCTACGAGCTAATCTTCAGAAATGGTCGAGCTTGCGTAATCTTAATAAGCCGTAAGAGACCATCCTCATTTTTCATGTATGTGAAGTTCCTGTTTAGCTATGAAGTAACTTCCAATAGCACTTCCCGGTTCCATATGGAACTCCTCATGAAATATACCCATTCGGTTACTGGCAATGTCATGGGACAATTCTTCAAAGTTCGGCATCCCTTCTACTTGCACTCCACTTCCGCATATAATAAAATGGGTACCCAAAATAAACGATCCGGATGCTCGGATTGTCAAGGCATCCTCCCCATTTGGCCGACAGTGGAGCTTCTCCACTACATGAACCAGTTTTTCTCGCGGCCGCTCACCTGCGAGTTTCTTTCGGATTTCTGATAGGGTTGCAAATATGTCATTTGGTCCTCTGAAAATTTTACCTGAGAAACTGAGAAACAAGGAATTTAGTAACTCTCATGATGATCACTCATTTACGCGAATCACAAAGTAAAACAAAATTGTCAGTTGCTATGTCTAACAACCTGAGAAACTGTCAAATCGCAAAATTAAGCACTCATCTTGTGAAATGGATTTTAATCAGGACATAAACTCCAAAAACTATTACAATTAGCAAATGCCTTTATCCAAAATGGATAAATCATTTTAAACTTTATTCAAAATTGAGAATATGTACGGGTTGACTAAAGCACAGTAATAACCAAAAAAAGGCGTAAGCAATAAATTGTATAACAATGAGGCGACCAAGTATATTTGCTTATCATGTCATTCAAGACAGAAACTAAATGCTTAAAATGTGTAAGATATTAGAGATGATAAGTGATAAGATATATAGAGTTACATAAAAGGTAAAATAGATGCGAGTTGTAACAAGTGCTCCAGTAGGATTTATGGCAACCCTATCTCCGTGTGCATTTCCTTGCCTGATATGGACCACTTTAGAGGTTGATGCTCAGTAGTAAAATTCTGTATGATAACTTAATTTATGTCCATTTTGATGAGAAATAAATCCTAGATGATGATGAAGATGAAGAAGAATATTGACCAACTTCGAGGTTGATACTCAATAGTGAAATTATGTATGATAACTGATGAGCTTTGTGCCCATTTTGACAAGAAATAAATCCGATGCAATATCTCTCTCAATAACCAGTCTTGGAGCTTCTTTTGTGAACTAAATATAACTATACTCTTCCTCATAATAAAGCACATTAAGTATAGGAAAATTAAGTCATTCACTTTTGAAGGTCAGAATAAGTTCCCAAGCAATACCAAAATTCTTCAAGCGCAGTACCTAAAAGTCGACTTCTCAGTGTACAATGTTCTCATATGATGCCACAGTCCGTCAACCCCATCGAAGAGCAGGTAATAGTGTATGGTAAGCATCTGTTAAATAGAGGCATGAATTAAATGTTGCATGCCAAAAGTACAATTATATATCACACATGAAAATTTGGACATCACCTGATAAAGTCTAATAAGATTCAACTATATGTTTTCGGTTTAATTCTATCATGAATAATTTTTTTTAGAAGATTGACACCAAGAAGGACGGAACTCACATCTGCTATTTCCTTCAGCCTCTGAGTAGGATCAAAAACACTTCGAACATATGCCGCCAGATCCACACTTTCATTTTCATACTTCCTAAGAAATGGATGTGACATAAGCTGCAGAACGGTTAGTATCAACAGAAGCACAAACATGGAAAAAAAGAAGGGAAAGCTAAACTGCATGCATCCTAATATGTCAGAATTGCTGCTCAGTATTAATATATTGTTAATGAATATATTATGAAATATTGTTGAGATATGATTGGATATGATTTTATCTCATGCCTATTTTGTTATATTCGCCTAACATCTATTTAAGAGAGGTTAGGGTTAGATGAATAATATCTTGGCTTTTTTTCGATGAAGGCAGATGATAGGGATCAATATACCCGATTCTATTTCAGAGGGACTTGGCATCATAGATCTCATTGAGATATCAACAGATGCTATTCAGTTTGAGATAAGGACTGGTTTTACTTAGTTATTGTTAGGATACGAATAAAGTTATTGATAGAATTGAGATTGTTATGATTTGATTTGTTTAGAGATAAGCATTTACATGTTTTTAGATAAGATTTGATTTATTTAAAGATAAGATTTGATTTGTTTTCAGATAAGACTTGTGTTATCTTCAACTCTTTACAAAAGTGAGGAACTTTTATGTAATAGGCAGTGAATTTTGAATGAAAACTATTGAACAAAGAGATTTCTAGAGTGATTCCAATTAATTTTATAAGACCCCCGTGAACAGTGGAGTGCACAGCGACCCCGAGAACAGTTCGTGAACAATTCCGTAAACAGTGCCGTCAACAACGCCCTGTGAACAGTTCCTTGAACAGCGCCCCGTGAACAGTGCCCATTGTTCTTGCCGGTGTTCTCGACACTGCAACCTCATTCACAGATTTGATCCCTGCAGTATTCCACAGTGACAGAGAACGACAAAACCCAGATCTAAGCCCTTATTCCCATTTAATCAGATCGCTTATATTGTAGTTAATCAGAAGTGTTGCATACTTGATCTTATATTGAACTAACCTTTTTGTTTTGAAAACCCTTTCGCAAGATCTAGCTAATAGAAATTCGACTCCAACGGCGAGTACTCAAATAGGGTTTGTGGACTGTGCTCGACGTTTCACGCCTTAGGTATATCGCAAACACATTCCTTATTTGTTGTAGTTTTTGCATCATTTATTACTATTAGTTGTTAGTTCATATTGTTTGATATTTAAAGTTATTTTCCACTACAATTTTAGTGTGAGTTTACATTTACTTTGCATATTAGTTCATTTAATTACTTTTCCTAGAACTTGATAGATTGTGCTACGTCAGCAGATGAGAGCGGAGTCGGCTCTGATCGGAGTGGACGGCGAGTAGTAATCTGTGGGTGAATAGTAATCCACAGATACGAACAGCCTGGCATACCGATGAGCAGTAGCTTGATGAACAGTAAGTGAATAGTAATCCACAGATACGAACAGCCTGCCATACCGATGAACAGTAGCTTGATGAACAGTAACTCATAGAGGAACTTCTTGGTGAACAGTATCAATGGACAATGAGTCAACGTCGAGGCCATGGAGGGGAAGCACGAAGTTTTCAGCAAAAAAACCCCTCAGCGGCTCGATATAGAAGATGAAGAAAGAGGTCTCTCTAGAATCAAAATGATGACTCATATCATGTAGAGAAATAAAAGAAAGCCAAGATATTATTCATCTAACCCTAACATGAGATAAAATCACATACAATCATATCTCCCAATATCTCAATGATATATTCCTTAACATATATAAATACATCTTGTGATTTTACTACTTCTTTAACTAAGATAACACATAATCTAGAACAAATTGGGTTGAACATGAATTCCTAATAAAGAGTAGAACTTGGGAAGTATTACTGCAGACAGTAAGTAGTCATCATAATTTGATTAGGAAGTAGCCCTCATTTGGTAAGAGGTCATGTGCATATGTTCAAGACAAGGTGAGCTTGATAATTGGTGTAGATATCACACATACACACGCGCGCACGTAGTTACTTCAACAGCATATAGTTAACTATTCATATTCTTACTTGTTCTGCTGTCGGTCTCAAATCAGCATCTTTCTGCATGCAATCATCAATGAATGAACAGAATTCTGGGGAAAACACATCTCTTGGAGGTGTAGGCGTTAGGTCATATAATATCTGCCATATCAACAAAAAAAAGGTGCATACAGCAAGCAGATAAAGTGAAATTTAACTTCAAGTAGCGTACGTGTCGAGAATTAATGCTCAGAAGCTTAATGAAACATATTAAAGTAAACGTAAGAAACATCATCATCCAGGGAGCAAATGAAGACCTACACAAAGGCGATGGGATAACAGAAAACTCCAAATAGATGTAGAACTGCGGTCACTATATTTCATGAATCAATAAGGTAAACCGACTCTTCTGTCAGATGAACATGTAATTTTTAGTTTTACCTTTAATTTTTTAGTTTCTTATTAGATTCACGGTTTTTATTTGTCATAATTACTTTAGGAATATAACCAAAGCCTATGTGTGGGGGATGTCCAGACCAAACCTTTTGATGAATACTGTTAAATTAAGAACCACCAACATTCCACGATTCGATGACAATATTTGATCTCAATATAGCATAGATTAGACTTGTGAAGCTTCTGGCTTGAGATCCCCTCCTATGGTTGGTTTCAGATTTCTTCTGCTTTAAATTCCTGACAACCACTCATTTATTTTCTTGTTTTTAAATAATAATTCTGCCGTTAATTCTATTTGGGTAAATATTCATAAAGAATTGACTCATAAAGAATTGAATGGCATCATTATCTAAAAAGAATCCATAAAAGGTGACCCAGTCCGACTGAAAAAAATCTAACTTGATTTATTTCCACTCAGATGACTCTAGATTAGATCTTGTCTATTTAAACAATCCAGAGCTAGTTAGGACTCTGTTCACCAATTGATTTGAGTTAGATAACACCAATTAATATGACTTTCAGGGTAAAAACTAATTTCACTCCCACCAATCACAATGTGAAACATATGCAATCATTTATGCAAAGAGTAGAAAAAAGGAAACATAATCAAAAAAGAAACAGAGAAGGTACAATGCACAAACTCACCTGTAGCATGAGATTGGCAGGTCCATCATTTGCTGTATATGGATATTTTCCAGTTCCACATTCGAGTATAGCTAATCCCAGACTCCAAATATCAGCTGGATAAGAATAGTTCTCGCTTCGAATTCTCTCAGGAGACATGTATGTAACGGTGCCAACAAAGGTAGCACACTGGCACATAAACATTTTGAATAGAGGTTAAAAACGTAAATTCTTCCCGGCCACTACAAAGAGATTTCTAAACCATTGAAATTAGCTCATGAAATTGACAAGTTAACTTACCATGGCCACAGAATTATCCAAGTCTGCACTTATACCGAAGTCAGTAATCTTAGGCTCCCCCTTGAGATTTATAAGCAAATTTGCCGGTTTTATATCTCTGTGAACTAAATGTTTTACTCCATGCAAGTAATTTAAACCCTAAATGATTCAACACATTACTCAGCCACATAAATTGATCAAAGTATTATAATTCCTATTAAACGAGGGAATACTATAGAAGTGCATAGATCCTTACTATCAACAATTTCCTGATCATATGTGAAAGAACTGGCTCTGGTATAGGTTTCCGCACTCGTAGAATATCTGCAAGTGACCCTCCATCCATGTACTCCAAAGCAATGCTAATTTGTCCTGAACCAGGGGTATAAAATGCCCCATGAAATTCAACCAAGCCCAGATAACAACATGCTTCACATAGAGTCCGTATTTCGTTTAGAAGTTGTTGCCTCTTCTCCTTTAGACAAGAGAAAGCATGTGAAATCCAAAGTATAAAAAAAAACAAAGTGACCCTCCATCCATGTACTCCAAAGCAATGCTAATTTGTCCTGAACCAGGGGTATAAAATGCCCCATGAAATTCAACCAAGCCCAGATAACAACATGCTTCACATAGAGTCCGTATTTCGTTTAGAAGTTGTTGCCTCTTCTCCTTTAGACAAGAGAAAGCATGTGAAATCCAAAGTATAAAAAAAAACAACTTTATTTTTATATTTCCCTTTTTGGGCTGAGGTTGGAAAGAGCGTAAGAAACAATTATCTACAACTATATATGGAGCGGAAAAGGTTAAATATGAGCACAGAAAGAGGGTAGAAAATAATGAAGAAAACATACAGGAAGCAGGAAACAAGTGTCCAATAGTTCAAATCATTTTGAAAGGCCTTTGAAAAAAAGGATCAAATCAATAAAGCAAACGATACACACAAGTCGGGCTTCAAAATTTTCAACATTTAAGTTAGTTATGCAAATCAATAAATTCCAAATATTCTTGTAATAAAATGTGAATTCAACTTGCATATGCAGTTCCACATATAACCAACTACAAAATCCAATCAGAACATCTACTATAGGAGAAAACTGTTCTGAACCCTAAAGCGGGCAGGTAATATTGTTAAACTGCCCCCTTACTCTGAACGACACCAAACACCCCATTTATATGTGGGTGTTCTGATAGACTCTGTATTCCAAAGAACATAATGAAAGCCTTATCTCAGGTCTCGACTTTCCGGAACCAACCTCTGCTAACAGCACTTCTACATGGACACTTCCACCTCACTACCTTTAACTTTTCAATGGGCGAGAATTATAGGCAAAATTACCACCTAATAGTTGGAGATGCTTGCCCAAGGAAGGGTTCAAGTCTACCAGTAAGTATAATCACAAACTAAGACTCAACATTATATTCTCATTTTTTATCCATAAGCGAACCATATAAACAAAAATATCATATATAAACAAAAGCGCAGTGATTGAATAGGTCTATGAAAGAATTACCAAACTCCCCCAACCCCTTCACTGCACCACTCCACCATAACAAAGTAGAGATGAGAGAGATGGAGAGAGGCTATAAAAGCCACATCAGCAACCTGATCTGTGTTATAACTTGCAAATTGTGCGCTTCCAAACGTTTCATATAGTTGTCCATGTTTTTCAAAGACCAAGGTCACAATGCCAGTAGTTGGATTATCACGGTAGATGCGTGATTAGAATAGAACTATTTTAAAATAGAATTACATATTAGTATATCAATTTAGTAGTAGTAATAAGCAGATGTGCATCTGTCGGATAAAAAAATAAAATAAAAGCAAGATGTTAACCTTTTCAAATATGTTTATCTTCTTCAAGGCCAAAATTCGATGATTTGGTATATGAATAGCTCTATGAACAACACTGCTTCCACCGCGACTTATAGCTCCAAATGTATGCATTTCATGAGAAGCACAACGGTACATTGTTTCACCTGTTTCCTCGTCTACTAGTCCAGCTGTATGCTTTTGCAAACCAAGCTCATTAAAATTGTATACTCCACATGATTTGCTCAATAAGTTAACAGTTCCACCATCTGATACCTCCAAAACCAGAAAAAGTATTATAATTCCTATTAAACGAGGGAATACTATAGAAGTGCATAGATCCTTACTATCAACAATTTCCTGATCATATGTGAAAGAACTGGCTCTGGTATAGGTTTCCGCACTCGTAGAATATCTGCAAGTGACCCTCCATCCATGTACTCCAAAGCAATGCTAATTTGTCCTGAACCAGGGGTATAAAATGCCCCATGAAATTCAACCAAGCCCAGATAACAACATGCTTCACATAGAGTCCGTATTTCGTTTAGAAGTTGTTGCCTCTTCTCCTTTAGACAAGAGAAAGCATGTGAAATCCAAAGTATAAAAAAAGAGAGAAGGATTTTATTTTTATATTTCCCTTTTTGGGCTGAGGTTGGAAAGAGCGTAAGAAACAATTATCTACAACTATATATGGAGCGGAAAAGGTTAAATATGAGCACAGAAAGAGGGTAGAAAATAATGAAGAAAACATACAGGAAGCAGGAAAAAGAGAGAAGGATTTTATTTTTATATTTCCCTTTTTGGGCTGAGGTTGGAAAGAGCGTAAGAAACAATTATCTACAACTATATATGGAGCGGAAAAGGTTAAATATGAGCACAGAAAGAGGGTAGAAAATAATGAAGAAAACATACAGGAAGCAGGAAACAAGTGTCCAATAGTTCAAATCATTTTGAAAGGCCTTTGAAAAAAAGGATCAAATCAATAAAGCAAACGATACACACAAGTCGGGCTTCAAAATTTTCAACATTTAAGTTAGTTATGCAAATCAATAAATTCCAAATATTCTTGTAATAAAATGTGAATTCAACTTGCATATGCAGTTCCACATATAACCAACTACAAAATCCAATCAGAACATCTACTATAGGAGAAAACTGTTCTGAACCCTAAAGCGGGCAGGTAATATTGTTAAACTGCCCCCTTACTCTGAACGACACCAAACACCCCATTTATATGTGGGTGTTCTGATAGACTCTGTATTCCAAAGAACATAATGAAAGCCTTATCTCAGGTCTCGACTTTCCGGAACCAACCTCTGCTAACAGCACTTCTACATGGACACTTCCACCTCACTACCTTTAACTTTTCAATGGGCGAGAATTATAGGCAAAATTACCACCTAATAGTTGGAGATGCTTGCCCAAGGAAGGGTTCAAGTCTACCAGTAAGTATAATCACAAACTAAGACTCAACATTATATTCTCATTTTTTATCCATAAGCGAACCATATAAACAAAAATATCATATATAAACAAAAGCGCAGTGATTGAATAGGTCTATGAAAGAATTACCAAACTCCCCCAACCCCTTCACTGCACCACTCCACCATAACAAAGTAGAGATGAGAGAGATGGAGAGAGGCTATAAAAGCCACATCAGCAACCTGATCTGTGTTATAACTTGCAAATTGTGCGCTTCCAAACGTTTCATATAGTTGTCCATGTTTTTCAAAGACCAAGGTCACAATGCCAGTAGTTGGATTATCACGGTAGATGCGTGATTAGAATAGAACTATTTTAAAATAGAATTACATATTAGTATATCAATTTAGTAGTAGTAATAAGCAGATGTGCATCTGTCGGATAAAAAAATAAAATAAAAGCAAGATGTTAACCTTTTCAAATATGTTTATCTTCTTCAAGGCCAAAATTCGATGATTTGGTATATGAATAGCTCTATGAACAACACTGCTTCCACCGCGACTTATAGCTCCAAATGTATGCATTTCATGAGAAGCACAACGGTACATTGTTTCACCTGTTTCCTCGTCTACTAGTCCAGCTGTATGCTTTTGCAAACCAAGCTCATTAAAATTGTATACTCCACATGATTTGCTCAATAAGTTAACAGTTCCACCATCTGATACCTCCAAAACCAGAAATGTCTCAACAATAAATTTTACAGCGAAAGAGAAAGGCTACATTAGAAGAACAAGTATCAGTTTTGGGTTGTAAAAGAACTAATACAAACTTTTCGTTCTCATGAAACAACTGCAAAATTCATAGCTTCTTCCAGAAACTACCTTGATTTTCAGAAAACTATCATCAATTTTTGTAGTTAAGGGAACAAAAAATTATGATAGTTTACAAACAATCCAAAGTTAATGGAAGTTTTTTGAAAGTTAGCCAAAGAGAAATATAAATATCATGTGTGGTAGAGACTTATCGATAAGTAGAGCAGTAAAGTATATCCCCACTGAAACTTGATCTATAAAAGGTCATCCGTGAGGTCGTGCTAGTGTAAGATACATAAATTGTTTAAGAAAACATGAGAAATAAAGTCAGAAGCTTCAGTTATTGAAACAGGCATGTTTCTGTATTACTTTGCGTTGAACTAGGCATATCCTTCTTTGCCATGACAACTAAAGCATTAGGCTGTATCATTTTGAAAAAGAAGATAAGAATCATGCTATGCCACACAATAGTAGTTAGTTGATCAGAAAGCAAGAGGCAGAACTGCCATCACCACCACTGTATCATCATATACATGCCATTTCTCATCAAGATAGGACCACAACTATAAGTAACTAAAGAAAATTTGACCAAAAGATAAATCATAACATTGCAATCAGCTACCAAGTTGATGTCAAACATACAAAGAGATGATAGAAGTGAGAAACAGGTCTAACATCTAAGTGATGAAGCTAAAAAAGATCTAGCTGGCTATAACAAGAAGAAAGAGGCCTACTAACCAAGCATTGACGAACTTGATAATCTTACCAACCCTCAAACTTTTTGTAACTAGATGGTAAACATTTTCATCGTAATATTTCAAAGAAAAACAAACTTATTAATCACCGCTTATATAGTACAAAGAGAACAAACATTACAAGGTCAAGAAAAATTAGCTTTATAATAACACTAAAAAAGTAACAAGTATTCATTCTCTCCCATGAACATGAAAAATATTTTTTATGGCACCATGACAGTTGTATCCATACCTGACACATTCAACTTGTTTGGTCACTGATCATTACCCAACTTCTACAAGAAGTAACTCCTACCTGACCTGAATTTTGTTGAGTCAGGTCGGGTTGGATACAAATTCATTGCAGAGATAAACAAGTGAAAAGTGACCATGGTACCACGAGGATGCTAAATTCATGGATTGGGATCCTCTACTAATGAGGAGCTTTCTAATATCTTCTAATGGAATCTTGGCCTTTCAATCAAAGGCCAAGATCTCCTCATGAGCAAAAGTAGGGGGAGGATAAGGATGAGATCTTGGTCTTTGATTGATAAATCAAAGGCTAAGATCTCTTTATTAGTAGATGGAGGATAAGGATGAGATCTTGGTCTTTGATTGATAAATCAAAGGCTAAGATCTCTTTATTAGTAGATATTAGTAGAGGATCCATTAGTAGAGGTGATTGATAAATCAAAGGCTAAGATCTCTTTATTAGTAGATATTAGTAGAGGATCCATTAGTAGAGGATTCCAATCCTAAATTCATATACGAAAAGGTAATGCAAACTTTTAAAAAAAAGGCTTATAAAATATCAGCTATATAATAGATCATCTATATAAAACAAATGTTGGAGGATACAATATGAAAAGGAATACAGAACATTATACATCGTCCAGTAAACAAGCCTGACAACACCAAGCAAATTGTATTGAAAATCTTGTTCATTCTACAGTGATCAAGGTGTGCTAAGATTCAAAGTGGGTAAATGAGACTACAAAAAGTTAGACAGAGAGAAACGATAGGACACAGAATACCTACTTTACCTAAAAGTTTAAGCTGATGGATAGTGGACTAACTATATATTTCAAAATACACTTAGAACTTCACATTTCCCCTATTTCACTTCTGACTTTGGGCCACATGGAGTGGCCTTCTGCATAAAATGACCCATTTGGAATGAGGAATAATGGGGGAAATTGACATATTTCAATTTGTAAATTACAAGGATTGAACCTAGGAGCTTTTGAAACCTATTGCTCTGATGCTCATGTAAAACCAACTTAGCCAAAAAGCTAGTGCACTAGTTTTAGCTTTACAATGTATTGCGTACACCTACACTTACAAAACATACAGTACCAATGCACACAACAATGTCTAAAAACTAGAAATGTGGCAGGGATAAAATAACAAATCAAAATAATGTGTGGTGTGTGCACATATATATATATATATATATACACACACACACACATACACACAGACAGACACACACACACAGACACATACAGACATACACATATACACAGACACATACAGACATACACACACACATACACAGATACATACATACATATATATGGGTATGCTTGGTACTAAGCACCATATGTGGTGCTTGGTAGTGATGTGGCCACTTCTCATCCACGCATTTAATGGGGTGGGTAATTAAGTGGGGACAATCGTAAATGATATCTTTAAATGTGTGGATGAGAAGCATCCACATCACTACCAAGCACCAAATTTATGCTCAGTACCAAGTATATTCATCTCTCTCCATATATATGTATATATAGAGAGAGTAATGGGTATGCTTGGTACCAAGCACAAAATTGGCGTTTGGTAGTGAGTTGGCAACTCATTCTCATCCACTTATTTAAAGGAATGGGCCACATTCACATGGTGGTACATGTGTTAGATAATTAAATGAGTGGATGAGAAGTTTTCACCTCACTTCCAAGCATCTGGTGTTTGGTACCAACATACATATTACTCACACACACACTTATATATGGGTATGAGCTGACAGCACATGTAAAATAAGCTACCAAGTCTATGTCATGTAAGTCTCCTGCTAGTCACATCAGTGTGGGGCTCATGGCAGTGGGTTGGCAACCCATTTTGCAAGACACGTTGTCGGCTCATAGCCAGTTTCCTCATACATATATGTATATATGAAAAAATGTATATGAGCTGACAACTCATTTTGTAAAATGAGCTACCCCCGACATCAATAGTGTATAGGCCCACCTAATGGGCACATTTGGTGGGTGTGGGTTCTTCTGCTTGTGAGTGGGCAGCTCATTTTGCAAAATGAGCTGTTAGCTCATGACTCATGCCCTCATATATATATATATATATATATATATATATATATATATAGAAAATGAAGGATTTTTGCGTTACCAAGTTTCTTCATAAGAAACTGGTAGTATAGTGCGATTTAATCTGGTCCATTCATCTAATAATGAGCTGCAATTAAAGAGGATGTGATGTAATTTTTTGCAAAAAAAACACACTTTTTATTTAAAAAAAAGGGAGCCTGGCCATAAGTCTCTTTCCTCTCTCTTCAAGCCATTCATTCAATCTCATTTTCTTTCTCCTCTCAATCGCCAATCTCTCTTCCCCCCCCCCGCTGCTCGTAGAGCTCCACTGTCTCAATCTCTCGCGCGCGGTTCGCAACCCCGTCAGCGTCGGACTGCCTCCGCGCCGCCTCGCTTGGCGCACAGAACCCCGCCATGGTCCTATTGTGAATTATTGAGTTATGGCAGTGTATATTAGTGTTATTGAATTTTTAGGCAAGGACGTTCTTCTTGCTGTTAGCAAATACATGTAGGGCCCGGCCTGTGGAGGGGTTGTGGTGCAGGGTCACGCAAAGGAGGCGCGCTCGGAGGAGTAGGCGCGTTCGAGGTTGTGATCAAGGGGAGGGCGGGTGCGGAGTGAGTCGTTGCGGACAGGCTGAGGAGTCGTGGCGGCGCAGCGACGCGGCGAGGTGGAATGGAAGAGTTATTGAGAAGTGGAGCTTCTAGAGAGAGGGGGGGAAGTGAGAGATTGAGACTGAAGAGGAGAGAGGTTGAGATTGAAGTGGTGGTTGGGGAGAGATGAGGAAGAGACGTATGCCAGCTCACTTTTTTTTTAAAGAAGTGGTGGGGTTTTTTACCAAAATTAACATGCAACTTCCCGCCTCTTTATTACTCATTATTAGATGGAATGGATCGGGCAGATTAATCCACCTCACTACCAAGTGGCTCTTTGAGAACACTTGGTACCAAGTTTCTTCCATTTCTGCTCTCTTCTCCTCTCTCTATATATTTATATATATAATATATATATATATATATAATATATATATATATATATATATAATATATATATATCTAGAGGAGATGCACATGTCAAATTAGATTATCGCAATAAATTTGACTTGATCCACTCTCGTTTATTTTGATACTATATGATTCGAGATGACATATAAATAAAATATTGTGCATAAATTGAGTGTAGTTACTAATGTATGGCAAGTGATAGTAAAATTAACATTGTACTGACAACACAACCACAAGAGAGCAATGAAAATATGTGTTTAGATAAATAGTTCAAGAGCTCATGATTTTTATTTGTGGAATGTTTTAAGATATTCTAAGATGGCATTATGAATGGAGGCGGATCGTCCATTAAGAAGATAGCTCAATCCATAGATGTGAGAGGTGCATCATTAGATTCAATCTAAGAGGCTCTTTGAGAATCATATTTCCCATATATTTTATATACATATATATATTATATTATATATACATAATATCTATATATATTATATATATTATATATTATATATATATATATCATATATATATATATTATATAAGCTAGAGCGCCACTTAGTGGAACAGAAACATTTGTTCATCCAACTTCCAACCTTTGGATGGACTAATTTGATCAAGATCTTGATCAAATTAATATCTTGCATTTATTGAGAGAAGGGTAGTTTGGTAAGGGGGAAAACACAAAAAGATACTGAACATGATCATATGGAGAATCTCTCTCCATAATGTCTCCCTATCTAATTAAATCTCTCTCCTCTATGCAGAAAATAACAAAAATATGCATCCTTCCACGTTCAGATGACAAAATACTCATCCTTTGTTGTTCCCGTCCCATCATGAAGTCTAAACCCACTGCCATCATTGTTTCGACTTCAGTGTTTCCATAGTCACCCCCAGTGCGACCCTCTCCTCTGCCTCGGTACGAACCAATTATAATGACAATCAGCTTCATCAAAGGAAATCAGAAGCAAATGATGGCAGACATGGGGGATTCAGCTCTGAACTAATGCCTGAGACTTCTTAGGCCTCTGTAAAATCAAGAACTCTTAGTTCATGGCTCTGAATTACTTAAATGTACCAGTAAAGGCAGAGAACTTATACAATGTACTCCAATGAGTTGATTTATGTACTGTTTGATTACATGTGTACCAATCTTTGATATTTAGAGATTCTATGTGTTGGGAACTGATTTCTGTTTATCAATCAAATGGTTTAATTTAGTCTGTTTGCTTTATTAACATTTACCCTATTGATTTGTTTCCTTTTCTACTGAGACAACTATATATCTTCTTCAGTAAAGCCAGAACAATATTCTAACATTCAATACTCATACAGCAAGAAGCAAATATAAAAAAGAAATATGAAGACGAGATGACAACAAACATGAAATTTACATTGGATTTTCTACTCCAATGGAGATCAAATAATAAAGACTCGACTCTAGTCAACATTATTCCACACACTTCCTGAATGCAATATTCAAGTATCGTCGTGGACGGACTTATTATTTTTCCCGTCCAAACAAGTTATCATAATGGTCCAACTCAGTGTTTTCAAAGGCGCGCGCCTCATTACGCCTTACGATGTGGGGCGGTGATGAAGCGCCCCACATCTGATGCAGCAACGCCTTTTGCGCCTCGCGTACATCCTTACTTTGTGTAGGGTGCATATAGTACATATCCTCATATAGTTTTATTTGTTAACATTTCAATCGAGTCTTTATACTTGATATTTCATATCCCAAAAAGCAAAATAAACCCATTAGGCCTTTTTAATAGCCTTCAATTGAGGACAATTACTAATCCTTTGCTTGGATATTAATCTTGATTTAACATTTTATGAATTTTGCTACTATGTTGGGTGTTAGCGTTAGAAATTAAGGCATTATATTGTGATTTTGTAGTAAGATATTATTTATCATGATATTTTTCATGTAAATTGATTTTGTAGTAAGATATTATTTATCATGATATTTTTCATGTAAATTCTAAAAACATGTTCTTTCACGCTTGATTACATATATTGAAAAATTATGTGTGCGGTGTGCGCCTCGCATCACTCGGGCTCGAGCATCGAGTTACGCCTTGCGCATGTGCTCGTAAAGATGTTTTGCGTCCCGCATTGCGCTTCGCACATTGACAACACTGGTCCGACTTTAGGCATCAGAACTTTAAGTACAAAATACACAGATGACAATATTACAATTGCAGCACAAGGCTTAAAAAATAAGCATATACAGGAAGAATAAATTCATAAATTAAACAAAGTAACCCAATCAATTGAACATTATAGCCTAGGGTAACAAAAAAAAGTCAACAAGAAAAACAACTCCAACTCCAAAGCCCCAGCAACGAAATTCAGTGCTACTTTTCCACTCAGAAAAAAAAAATGTCAACTACTAGAGAACCACATAGCACCATCAACATCTGCAACGTAACGGTGGGGAGAGGGGACCAAGTTCGAACTGGGTGGCGCTCGCCATGCCGGGGATTTTAAGTTTCAATATTCTCACGGAGTTGAAAGCCTTTGGTTTCGTTTTCCTCGCTTGCCTAGAAATCGGGAGAAACTCTATAACTACTCTCAATAACTACTCTCATGTCCCTTTGCTCTTTTCTTTTCTATTTTTTTCCAAGCTACCCCCTCAATAAATGCAAGATATTAATTTGATCAAGATCTTGATCAAAATAGTCAATCGATGGTTAAAAAGTTGGACGGACAAATGCTTCTATCCACTTAAGTGGATTCTATATGTGTGTGTACGGTAATTTCTCTACTTAAGCAGTAATACGGGTAAAGATAAATGATAAAGAACATAATATCCTTTTATCTTCAATCGCATAAGTATAATCTAAAGTTGTGGACTTCTAGAGGAATTTGGCATGTTATTATGTAGCTGAGTCATGTAAATAGTTTCATGATTGATGTGCCTCTAATGCATGGGTGTTAGCTATACAATCAGGAATAAGAGAAGATTGACAAGCTCAAAAGTTGTGAAAATAGCAAAAAAGTAAGGCATGAGATAAGCATATATTTATGCATAAACAAACATTTATTTTTTTCCATTAATAAAAGAATATGAAAAGCCATAAAATCAAGAAGCTAGTGAGATTACATATGTCATAATAAATTTTTCATGTCTTTTATTATGCCCAAACTATTGAATTCAGCATAAATGACTGAGTAGCCAACCAATTTTGATAGGAAAATGATAAATGGTTATGACAATAGCCCTTGAGGTATTCGGTTTGGATGGCCGAATAAGCTAGGCCAACCTAAAACAAACAACTTGACCAGATTTACATTTTCAAATTTCCTTCTCATCCTTTAGCTAGGGTACCTACATATACAAAGCACAAGCTATAGTGCCTACATATACATATTTTGATAGGGTGCCTACACATATATATCCAAATACATAATTATCATGTTTCAATATTCAAATTGTGATGTAAGCATCAAACGTAGAAATAACATTTGTGTATGTATCAATATGTTAGAATCAAATTAGGTTTAGGAACTCATATGTGCTAGCTATACTACAAATCAGGTTTGGGTTTATGTTCTTCTGTAAACTGTATTATTTGTAAATAATTGTGTTATTTGTAAATATATCTTCAAATGTTGATTAAATATAGAAAATTAATTTGATCCTAGCTTTACAAAGATGCAGCTCAAATTGGAAATATGCATATACTTAGTATGTCCATGCTACATTCACCACGTATAGCTCATAAGAGGGAAGAATTGTTTCTGTTATTTCACTTTCATAACTCAATTGACATGCCATAAAATCTGCACCTCATTATTCTAGGTGAGCAATCTCTCTTAACATTATGAAACATAAGGTGCCACTGTCAATATTCTATTGCCATTTTTGACTGATAAATTTACCATATATGAGTCACATGGCTCCAATGAGAGCCCGACTGAACTCCCTTCATCTGCATCAAACAATGGTTCCAGTTTCTTCTTCAGCTCCTCCAGACCAGCCATATGAATCTCACTGCTCTGCCTGAAAACCAGTTCAATGCCTCAATTGTCTCTGATTGGGGTGAATGGATAAGCTTCTATTTCCAATAATAAGTTAATAAGGAAAGAACAAATGTTGATTTCATTTACTACATGCAAGAATTCTCAAGCAGACTAGGCCCAAATAAGACCATCATTTCAACAAACAATTATAATAACATGCAAACCAACAAAGCAAACATAAACTCCACAAGATAATTTTGAGGTGCAAAACATGAAGCTCAAATTTATATTCCACATAACACTCATCATAAATTCTCAATTACACAGTATATTATTGGGTTAATTGCATAAACACCCCTTGTGCTGGGGGTATAACCATTTATACCCTCTAAACTATTAGCATTTATGCCTCCGAACTCCAAACAGTTCTGTTTCACGGTTGTGAGATCCATGTGACCATAAATTACTTTTGTATCCTCGATCTAGAGGAAAGTTTAATTTTTTGGTCAAGTTGAGGTCAAGAAAGTTAATTTAAAGAACTACACAATATACTATTGGGTTAGTTGCATAAACGCCCCTCGTGCTGGGGGTATAACCACTTATACCCTCTAAACTATTGTATTATCACTTATACCTCCAAAACATAGATGTCAGGAATGTGTGACGCTACAGCAAACTCCGACCCGATATCAATAGTCCTAGATTTGTAGTGAAACACGAACAGGTTCATCAACACTAGCATCCCGATTTAGAATTAAAACAAGTTAATTTTTTTAAATACTCTTTTGCAATAGAATAAAGTCAATAAACAACAAAAAATTGAGAAACTAAGCAAATAAAGTATACATATCTTAATTGCAACATGATTCTCAATGTTCTATTACCATATCTGATATCAGCTAGCGTATTTATTAAGTTTTGATTTTTGCAAAACCTTTGATCCCTACATTTAAGAACCGAACCTAAAACATCCACATTCCATAGCATACCGTATAAGCATATCCCCCTCATACCCGACTCCTAATGAGTGGCGTATAAGGGTGTTAATGAAGCGGATATGGTTCGGATATGGCACATTGGCACATACCATATCCATATCCTCTTTCTATAAACGGATACGGATATGGATTCCCTTCGGTAAGAAAAAAACTTTAACCATATCTGCACTCATTGGAAACGGATACGGTTCGGATATTAGAGAATCAGATCGGAGATCACGGATATGAAATAGACTCTCCTCCAATGAATCTTTGTTTTATTCATCTAGCTCAACAGTCCAAAATCTATAAAGAAAAGTGTACAGATTCTATTATGAGCTATGTTTATGCAGGGAAACTCTCGAGATTAACTTGCAATGCTACGTTTATGTATGTGACTCGCTTTAAGAAACATATCCATGGTATTATTCCTTAAGCATTATAAATGAAAGCATTCTTTGTGTCATGCTAAATGTGGGTGCTGCAGCCATAGTTGCATCTATCCATAATGCAAGATGGCAGAAACTATCAAATTAAACCATCAACACTTCAAAATTTTAGATAGAAGTGAAACCAATACTGATTGCACTACATAACTAAGTTACATACAGATAATATAAGACAAATCTATTTGACAACGCATTTGTATCATTGACTAATTCTTGCAATCTATAACTCCATATGGAATTTAATCAAAATTTAATCCAAACTGTATCAAATCTAAAGGCAACAGGTAGCCTTACATGAGGATCAAACTGGAAAAATATCTAGGGTTTTGATTCGACCTTATGGAACAGCGAGGACGACGATGGAACAGCGAGGATAGGCGGCGGCGGGCTGGGCGTGCTGGTCCTGCTCGTGGAGGAGCGCGTCGGAGAGGGGGGCAGAAGAGCAGGGAGGAGACGGCGGCGGGGTTGGAGGCGGCGAGGGATACGACAGCGTCCACGACGACGGATGACCGCGGAGGTTTGAGAATTTGGGAATTGAGTTATCGGATTTGGTAAAGTAGGGTTTTTTACCTAGTCTGGAAATTTGGGTTTTGGTTGGTTAGTCGTTACTGGTTTGCATATATAAATGGATCCGAATATTTATGTTAATTGAATTGCGGATATCTGTATTCACAACTGAATTTTATACTCATATCCAGATTTGGATCGGTATCCCAAAAAAATTTAAAATATCCGAATTCAAAACTGTATCCGTCCGATTTTAAAAAAAAAAAAGCTTACCATAGCCCGCTTCTGTTCAGATATGAATTCGGATTAGTTCAAATAAAAGGGAACCATTCGGTACCCTTAGTGGCGTACCATGCTTCCGTTCCCTTCCCGTGAACCAAAACAAATCGGGTTTCCTGCAACTATGCTCCAAACTTCAAATGATTTTGTTTCGTGGTTTGGTTTGAGATGTCATGTGACTTCATGTGACTATAAATTACTTTTATATCCTTGTTCTAGGCGAACTATTTTTGGGCGAGTTGTGGTCAAAAAAAGTAATTTAAATTCCATGTTACTATAAATTACTTTTATATCCTCCGCCTAGAGGAAAGTTCAACTCTTTTCGGTCGAGTTGAGCTCAAAAAAGGTAATTTAAAGTTGTGTGCTTCTCATACGACATCTCAACCTAACCAAAAGGTAACATTAACTCTTAAAGGAGTTCATGTTATATATATACTAGGTTTTATGCATGTGCAAGTTGAATACAAGGATTAAGTATTTTTGGTTTGTTTCCTTACTATATTTTATTATTTGGTTCCATTTTGATAGATTTTGCTCATTTATATCTCTAAACTTTACTATTGTGATTATTTTTTTTCTTTGATATTTATTTGAAAGAGCTATACCTAATTTAAAATTTTCATGTTGATAATTGAATTGGAAACAAATAAAATCCAAAGTCAATTTGAATTTTCATGTTTTTTGGACGAACATAAAACCAAGCTTGACCCGAGAAAATATAGTATTGTAAAAGTGAAAATACTTGGAAAAATAGTGTCATAAAATGAATATGAATTATTAAAGCCAATAAGCCAAGATGATTGATTAAAACAGGATTAAAACGATACAATGGAGAATATTAGGGGTGGGCAAAAACCGAAACAAACCGGTTCAACCGAAAAAACCGCCCGAAAAAACGGATCGGTTAACCGAACCGAATTAAATGGATGAGAAGAAGTCTCTAAACCTCCCGAACTGAATTAAATCGGTTTGGATCCGGTTTGAACCCCTGAACCGCCCAAAAAAAAACCGAACCGAATTCTTAAACAAAAAGTAGCTGGGAGCCTTGGGTGTGAAGAAAATTTATGGCTGAATGTTTAGCATTTAAGAATTGTGGGGTAGAGTTTATACTAACATATATTTGAGTACACTGATATAGTTAAGTGAGATTTCCGTAAATCAATACAAGATGTTGAGGTTGAAGGATAAATTTAGTGTTTTGGTCAAATTTCAATGATAACATGAATACAGCTTGCTGGTGCTGGATATCAAATTAACCTATAGTATAGGCTGTCAAGGATATAAGATAATTCTTGATAAGAAAAAGGCAGCTAAAAATTAACGAAAATCATCAAAAGGTGTGTGTGCCTGCCAAACATTGTTCTTTCTCTAAAAAAGGCTACATAATTACATGGTCCTCCTAGTATATTAAGCTAGTTATATTCAGATCATACAATTTGATTAAGTGGCTTAGTACATTTTTGATTGTTTCTTTTCAGTTTTGATTGCTTCTTTTTAGTTTTGGATATAACTAAAACTTACACAGATTTTTGTGAAATGGAGTTAATTCGGTTCAAAACCGAAACCGAACCGAACCGAACCGAATTTTGGTTGAGCCGAATATTCGGATGAAGGGGAAAAAATCTGGATCTGGATGAGAGTTTTGAGAACCCGAAAAATTCGGATTGGATGCGGATTGGGCTTAAAACCGAACCGAACCGAATACGCCCAGCCCTAGAGAATATAGAGTTTGATTCTAATCATTGATAGACTTCATAAAAAATCATAAACTAAAAATTAATACTAACTTTAGTACAGTTTTATATGATAAAAGTATCTACATAAGCATATAAAAGTACTAAAAAAGTTTATGGAGATCACTTTTAAATATTCCTAATTTTACCAAAAAAAACATTCTATAAAATATTAAGAAAATGTTGTCTTTTGTTCCTTCTGTTTTATTTTTTTATTAAGTCGAGATTAATCCCTCTTTACTCTTATCTTTTTTCTAGGCAACTCTAGAGTTGTGACTTCATTGTCGGTATTGATTGTGATATCAGGCTGGAGCTAGATTTCTCGTACTGTTATCTTTGCCTGGGTTCGTTTTTATTTTATCTTTTCATTTAACTTCACAAAGAAGTTGAATATATTTTTGATATTTAGTGCAAACTTTTGAAAGCACAAACTTTGATTTTCCTGTTTAAATGAGAATAAATGCTAATTTTGTATGTATGAAATTGTTTGTGTTGCTAATTTATTACCAAATAAGGTTAGGAGTTACCTCTTTTTTCTCTGTCATGAATTCTTCTAATGTACAACTAATAAGAGTTTTTGATACATCAATAATGTTATCTTTGCTCTGTCCATATTATTTTTTATGACGATCTGAACTGAAGATCTACATTTATCATTGTCAATTTGCCTTAGATTATAATATTAATATTTAACTTTGATATGTTTATTTCATGTAGAAGGGCTATTACTTAACATTGGTACTATACCATCGGTGACTCTGCAACATTTATTATTTGGACACTCGTTATTAACATCTGTCTCCACCTTCATATTGTAACCTTTGCAAGCGTAGAAACATAGCTCAACTCTATTGGAATTAGTATATGTTTTTACCTTAAAGGTGTAATAGTGTGTCTGTATATTGGTAAATTATTCTTAGGTTTAATTATGTGAATCTTAGAGTAGGTTTTGTACTTTCAAACGTTGTGATGGCTGCATGTGTGTAGGGACCACCCACGTGGGTGATTTAAGTGTGCAAGGTCAACAACGCGGTTTGCTTCCGCTGCTCGTTTTCCGCATGCTTGATGGTCCACCCGAAATCAGAGCCTTATAAAACCCTCTAGGGTTTCGTGAAGAAAAGTTGAAGGCTGGGGATTGTTTTTGCAACTGCAGGAGTTCTTTTCTTTAGGCGGCTACGAAGAGGTGCAGGGCCGGTCTTTTCTTTTGGTGGCAGCTGCAGACAGAGAACAAAAAGCAGTGCTTTTGGTGGCTATTCACGGAGGAAAAGCAAGTCTTTTGTAGATGTTCTTTGTTTTTAGCACCCCTTTGAGAGAGTATTTGTGTGAGGGATCTGAGAGTTTGTGAAAGAGTTTTTATTTGTGAGATTGTAAACCCCAATTATATCTCTCCCTCTAATAGTAGATCTTCCCCTCCTTGCCCCGTGGACGTAGGCTATTTGCCGAACCACGTAAAAGTTGTGTTCTTGTCGTGATTTGTAATAGCTTGTAGGATCCCTCGACAGGTCAGTCCTAGAACTGATGAGAGGAAGAGCCGATATCTCACTTGGTTGAGATATCCGCTTCAGATTCTTGTTTCCTTGGTGAGACGGGAATTCTTATCGATCTAATCTCTCTTGTTGTGCTGCAAGATCAATTTCGGTTTGTGGAGGTGTCAGGTGATGGACGCCTTGGATGCACAAAATTTGGAGGAGATTTTTGAGTTACAAGAGAAACCCGCTGATATGGAGGATAAGGTTTGGAAGAAAATGAATAGTAGGGCTTATGGAGTTATTCGGTCATGCTTGACGCCGGATCTTATTTATGACGTAATGAACGAGACGTCGGCGAAGAGAATGTGGGAAACACTCAATGAGAAGTATCTGACGAAGAGCATTGAGAATCGGCTTCACTTGAAGAAGAGGTTTTACCAATTCAAGATGAAGAGGGGAGTTTCCATCAGGGAGCATGTCAACAATTTCACGAAGCTACTTTCAGATATAGTCAATGTGGATATCATGATTGAGGATGAAGACAATGTGATGTTATTGCCGGAGGATGATTTTGGAACGTTTGTTCTCACTATGATAAATGGAAGAACTACGGTTAGCTACAAGGAGGTGACCTCAGCTTTGGTAAATTATGAGTTGAGGAAGAGTGATGGCGAACCCTCCGAGAAGGCATCGGGAGATGCATTAGCAGTTCGAGGCCGTGGTCCAAACCGTCGTCCAGGTGATCGCTCAAGATCGAAGTCAAGAGGTGGCCATAGAAATATTGGTAGGAATCAATGTCGCTTTTGCAAAGAAGAAGGACATTGAAAGAATGACTGTCCAAAGTTGAAAGATAAAGCCGGGAAGAATAAAGGAAAAGCTGTACAAGCTTCGGAAGTGAATGTTGTTAAGGCTAGTGATGACAATTCAGATACAGATTCTTCAGGCTATTCCTGCTCTGCACTACCGTCAGTTTGTTACGCTGACTCTACGGAGTGGATGATGGATTCTGGTGCTACATACCATATTTGCCCTAGGAGGGATTGGTTCTCTAGCTTTGAGGAGTTAGAAAGAGGGGATGTCATGCTCATGGGTAATAATCACGTATGCCCTATTAATGGTATTGGTACAGTACGGATCTGGATGTGTGACAGGGTAACTCGGGAGCTGAAGGAAGTGAGATTCGTTCCTCAATTGACGAAAATATCATTTCGCTTGGAACTTTGGAGGCAGCTGGTTATCAGGTGATCTTAGAGAATGCGACTCTGAAGGTCAAAAAGAGGTCCATGGCGGTGATGCGAGGTGTCAGGGAAAACAACCTATACTACTTGAAGGGCAAGACAGTAACAGGGGGTCTGGCAGCTTCGATTACCACAGAGGAGGATACTACCAACTTATGGCACATGAGATTAGGACACACTGGTGATAAGTCCCTACAGGTATTAGCGAAGCATGGGCTATTGAAGGGTGCGAAGACCTGCAAGATGGAGCTGTGTGAACATTGCATACTTGGGAA